TAAGACTGTAAGTACATGCCCTTCATTATTCAAGTGTGCAAATTTGTTACTAAGAGTAATAAAATATGTATCACAGGCAAAAAAAATTACATGACATTTTGTTGACAAAAATTAACCTAAATATATGATAAACAGAAGTGGTCCCAGAACAGATCCTTGGAAAACATCAGAAGCGAAAATTTTAAAATTAAAATATGAGTCATTCCATTTAAAATCGTCTAATTGGCAAAGCTAACCCATTTTATATTTTGGTGTAACTTCGAGGGACTATTCCTTAGGGTATCAATGAAGAAAATTTACACGAGTTTGATTTTTATAAGAACTCGTTTCCGCCTATTTCAATAAAGACTTTTTAAAAAATCGATATTTTTAAGCCTTATCGACTTTTCCTCTGAAATTTTTCTTTTTAAAGATAACTACATTATTAAAGCGGAATTCTGAGGGGGAAAGATAGTAGTTTAAGTGTAAGCATCGATAATTTGCTCAGTCAATACCTCTGATTAACGGAAGCGTGCTGAAAATGAATATTTTTTAATCATTTTTCGTGAATTTTAATCGACTCTAGCGTCTGAACTGCTTAGACTTAGCAGCTTATGTTCCTCAGGAATTAAGTGTATACAGGGTGTCCCGAAATTAGACGGTCATATTTTAACAGCGTAATCTACATCCTAAAATAGGAGTAAAAGTTTATATAAACAAAGGTCCGAAAACGTTTCTTTTTCGAGATACAGGGTGTTAAAAGTGAAGTCCTGATGACACATTTTTGTAAATATTTTCTAAACGCTTAAAGATAACTAAATGAAATTTGGTACAAATGCTTACCTGTTTACGCTCTATGTAATGGACTAAATCTTAGTTTTTTTATCATCTTCATAGATGGGTAAATTAGGGGGGGGCTTAAGGTAAAATTTCCCTAAGTTTTTTGTTGTCAGTTTTTAACATTTCTGACTAAAAAATTTGGATACCCAATGTTTTCTTTACAATAAAGCTACTCTTGCTGCATCTCGCTAGGACGCACCATTTTCAAGAGAAACGCATTTGAAAATTTCATGATAAATTCATATTATCTTATTCGAAAGTGCAAACAAAAATTAGTAGGCCTGGAATCCAATAGCTGCTTTTCAATTTTTTGAGACGCTGTGATAAACAAAAATTGGCTGTCAATTGTGTATTTATTTGTACTTTTTTTGCGTGAAAGAAAAATACTTCTAATAAATGGAGAAATTTTCAAGTAGAGAATTGGCAGATATTCATTTTGTATATGGTTTGTGTAATGGAAGGGCAAGAGCAGCGGTTCGAGCATACCGTAGACGGTTTCCTAACCGAAGAATTCCTGACAACCGTGTATTTATTAATACACATAGAAATTTGGTTGACCATGGTTCATTTCAACGTGATCGTGGACAAGGGAGACCACATGGGAACAACAATTCGGAACACGGCCTTAATTTATTTGAAGAGGACCCAAGAAGGAGTATTCGAACTGTTTCCACCCTTTCAGAAATACCACGAGCAATAGTAAGTAATAATTACTTCCCTTTTTCTTTATACTATTTTGTGATTATTAGTTTTTATTGCTCAAATTTACAAGTACAAGTATTAGAAATTAAAAATTTAAACAAACCGACTTCAAAAACGTGCAGATTCCATCACCACATCTTAACCAAATTTATATGGGACTTTTCCTGAGGTATCCCTTTACTAACAAAAAAAATAATCATATAAATCGGACAAGGTGGTAAAGCATTATCGCTAAACATACATAAAAAATGAAGAGTTTGAGGATTTTCTCATGGACCCAATTATTAGATTTTGACCAAATTTATATGGGACCACTCCTGTAGTACCCCCTTTCTATAAAAAAAAATCATTGAAATCGGACACCGTGTTAAAGAATTATCGCTGAACATACATAAAAAAAATATCGCGACGAATTGAGAACCTCCTCCTTTTCTGAAGTCGGTTAAAAATAACACAAACAAGTTTCAGATTAAAGGCATTTTTAAATTCTTACTTTAGTTTACGTGTCTTTTAAAAAATATGTTCATTTATGTTGGAAGAATGTTAAGAATGCAGGGTAGTCATCCCTATCATTATCAGCGTGTTCAAGCCTTAAGACCCCACGACTTTTTACCACGAATGGAGTTTAGAGAATGGATAAGAAACCATCAGGAACTGCTTCTTTTTATTATGTGGAGCGACGAGGCTACATTTAATAGAGATGGTGTTTTTAATATTCACAATCACCATTTTTATTCACAAGAAAATCCTCGGGTGGTGCGACGTCGATTTTTTCAAGATAGATTTTATATCAATGTTTGGGCGGCAATAATCAATGACAGATTAATCGGGCCGATTAAAATTCCTGGTCGGTTAAATGCAATTGAGTATCTGAATTTTTTACAAACCCACCTTGAACCCATTCTGGATAATCTCCCATTAAATATTCGACATCAGCTGCACTTTCAGCACGACGGAGCACCAGCCCATTATGGCGTTAATGTGAGAAATTGGCTAAATGAAAGATTTCCGGGTAGATGGATAGGAAGAGGTGGTCCCATACCGTGGCCACCTCGATCTCCGGATTTAAATCCATTAGATTATTACTTTTGGGGTCGTATAAAAGATATGGTATACGCTACAAAAGTTGACAGTGAGGAAGAGTTGCGTGAAAGGATACGTTTGGCAGGGAATGAAATAAGGCAAAATAATTTTGAAGTAATGCGAGCTACCCGTAGAGCCGAAATGCGCCTTCGTCAGCAAGGCAACGTTTTTGAACACTTACTTTAAATGTTGTATAAATTGATATTTTAGTAGAATTTTTTATATTTTTAATAGAATTTTTGTTATTTTTAGTAGAATTTTTAGTAGTATAGACAAAAACAATTTTTGAGAATCATTTGTTTATCGTCGTCATTTTGACCTATTTTAAGTCATCCTTAGGAAAATAAAAATAGATACGTCACATTAAAAAGCTTAAAATTATTATCAAATAGCATTTGCAATAATTAAAAGTAGGTAACTAATGATTTCTTCTCTCAGTCAAACTTCATATTTTCAAGAAATTACCAGCTATTCTTAATTTCAAATACAGTTTTGCTATAATTTTACAATATTTAACGTATCTGACTTATTTTTACCATCCTAAGGATTACCCTAAAAGAGTTTAAACGTCGGCAGTTAAAGAAATAAATTCTCATCAATCATTTTATTGGGCAAAAGCCAACCAAACCATTAAAAAAAAACAATTGATTAGTTTAAGTTTAAATACTATTTAGTTTTACCATTTAAAGTTTCTTTATAAAATAAACATTAAATTAAAGCTAAATACATTTTTTTAGTCACCGGTTTTCCAAACCTGAAAAAAAATTCTGATTCCACAGGCCTGCTAATTATTGTTTGCACTTTCGAATAAAATAATATGAACTTATCATAAAATTTTCAAATGCTTTTTTCTTGAACATGGTGCGTCCTAGCGAGATGCAACAAGAGTAGCTTCATTGTAAAGAAAATATTGGGTTTCCAAATTTTTTAGTCAAAAATGTTAAAAACTGACCACAAAAAAACTTAGGGCAATTTTACCTTAAGCCCCCCCCCCCTAATTTACCCATCTATGAAGATGATGAAAAACTAAGATTAAGTCCATTAAATAGAGCATAAAATGGTTAGCATTTGTACTAAATTTAATTTAGTAATCTTTAAGCGTTTAGAATATATTTACAAAAATGTGTCATCAGGACTTCACTTTTAACACCCTGTATCTCGAAAAAGAAACGTTTTCGGACCTTTGTTTATATAAACTTTTACTCCTATTTTAGGATGTAGATTACGCTGTTAAAATATGACCGTCTAATTTCGGGACACCCTGTATACACTTAATTCCTGAGGAACATAAGCTGCTAAGTCTAAGCAGTTCAGACGCTAGAGTCGATTAAAATTCACGAAAAATGATTCAAAAATATTCATTTTCAGCACGCTTCCGTTAATCAGAGGTATTGACTGAGCAAATTATCGATGCTTACACTTAAACTACTATCTTTCCCCCTCAGAATTCCGCTTTAATAATGGAATAATGGAATAAAGGACTTCACTTTAAACACCCTGTATCTCGGAAAAGAAACGTTTTCGGACCTATGTTTATATGAACTTTTACTCCTATTTTAGGATTTAGATTACGCGGTTAAAATATGACCAATTTCGGGACACTCTGTATATCATAGGTAAAATACAGACACAAGTCAACCTGAGCAGCCCACTCTTTGCAAAAAAAAAACTGCTTGAAGTTTTGAAATTTTCAAAAATTGCATTATTCAGGTTATATAATGAACGTGTTGACTGCCAGATAAAAATATGAAACTCTTAGAATCTACTGTTCTTACCTTTAACTTTAAATGACCGTACCACTTGTTTTGTTATTTTTATGTTTAGTGCATGTGCAAGTCGTTTTTTTACAGTAAAAATCAACTTAATTTTTTTATTTTATAATCTTATAAATTCAGTTTTTCTTGATGCTTTTTCGCAAATACAGATTATATTTTACCTTTTTATCGAACTTCAGGTGTTTTAATATTTAACAGTTTCCTACTGGACGTTTTAACTATTGGATTGAAATGAATTACGAACAATAATAATTATAAATGTGAAAGAATGCCTAAAGTTTCAATCGAGTTAAGGACATATTAGGTGTAAAATTATCTCTGGAAAAATAATTATAAAAAATGACAGTAATTAATAACATTTTTAACTAGAAAATTATTTTTATTCAATGTTTTGGTTTGATAACATTAACAATATCAAAATTATTAGAAGCTGAATACTTCCGCGCTTTTAATTGACTTTGAGAAATTGGTATAAAACTATGATACGATCTAGTATTTTTAATTGTATTTATATTTATAAATCTTTCAGATAATAATGTTTTAGCAGCTTCTACGTCATGGCTCAATATAAAAAAAAATGTATACCAGAAATTTGATTAGAACAAAATTCGTACATTGCTTCTGGAGTTAATACATGATGATCTGTAGTTCGCTGTAAGCTTGCTCTTCTTACGTTCCTTTTGTTTGTACCGCCTGCTCCATCACATGGACTTTTACCATAAGAAGTGGCAAAGAAATGCCAATCTGCCTGTAGTCCAAAATCCGCTTCATGATGACATATATTAATAAAGTTTTTTTTTTATTTTTGTATTGAGCAGCTGCTCCATCACTGAAGTAATAAATTTTCTTAAACTCCGGATAACTGTTTTTCATGTAATCAATAAAAAAAATTTGAAACGTGAAAAACGATACTGTACTGTGAGTTAGATAATCGCTAATCACACATAAAGTTTTTGCCTTAAGTAATCCGTCTTCTTTAAAGTAAATTACAAAGGGATGTAAAGTAGCTTGATTATTTGTCCAATGATAAGATTGTACTTCCATCTTGTACCATGAATGAATAGTTTTCTGAGAAATCAACTAATGCTATACACTCTGAATTGTCTTTTAAATTTTCTTTCAGGTTTCTCAAGTACTCTGATTATTTTTTGGAATTGAAATGATGAGATTTTAAAGCTGTCAATTGTATTTTCAAGTCAAAATAGAATCTAGTTATTTGGAAAGAAATAAAAAATTGAGTTGATTTTTGCTGTAAAAAAACGACTCACACATGCACTAAACATAAAAATAACAAAACAAGTGGTACGGTCATCTAAAGTTAAAGGTAAGAACAGTAGATTCTGAGAGTTTCAGATTTTTATCTGGTAGTCAACACGTTCATTATATAACATGAATAACGCAATTTTTGAAAATTGAAAAACTTCAAGCAAAGTTTTTTTCTGCAAAGAGTGGGCTGCTCAAGTTGACTTGTGGCTGCATTTTATCTATGATAAATAATACACTTAATTACTGAGGAACATAAGCTGCTAAGTCTAAGCAGTTAAGACGCTAGAATCGATTGAAATTCACGAAAAATGATCAAAAACCACTCATTTTCAGCACGCTGCCGTTAATCAGAGGTATTGACTGAGCAAATTATCGATGCTTACACTTAAACTACTATCTTTCCCCCTCAGAATTCCGCTTTAATATTGTAGTTATCCTTAAAAAGAAAAATTTCGGAAGAAAAGTCGATAAGGCTTAAAAATATCGATTTTTTAAAGTCTTTATTTAAATAGGTGAAAAGGAGTGCCTATAAAAATCAAACTCGTGTGAATTTTCTTTTTTGGAACCCTAAGGAATAGTTCTTCAAAGTTACACCAAAATCTAAAATGAATCGGCAACATTTTTTTTTATTTTCAGACGATTTTGTATGGAATGACTCATATGTATTATTTTCTAAGTGAACTTTGAATTGCTGTTTCAAAGGCCGCCTCTCATATTCAAGTTCCTCCAACAATAATTCGTAGGATACACAATCGAAAGGTAGCATATCATGAAAGACGAATGTAGACGTTCTTCAAGACCCCTACCATATCTTCCATAACCTTAAACAAAACTTTTATTGCTGATATATTACTTCTAAAACCATTATGTTCTGCTTAAATTTTTCCAAATAATAACTGGATAATCCAGTTTTCTTTAAAATTTCTATTACCTTAGAAAATACAATTATTGTTATTTGGCCTATAATTATTAGCCCCATGTAAATTACCATATTTACGCAAAGGTAAAATTTTTAAAAAAATTTAAAAGCCTCAGGAAGAGTACCTTAATAAAACCAGATATTGGTTAAAGTTGAAAGTAGTTCGACAAGAATATTTATCGAAATTTTTAAAACTGTAATTTGTTTCACGTATTTCATGTGCAGTTATATACGAGATGGGATGAAAAGTTTCCGGCCTAACCTATAGTAGGCCCGATTTGCTTTCCTGTTCCAACGTGTCTGTGTAGCCTTGCTTGTCGTCAGTATACGCTCGAAGTTTAAAGTGAGTGCGTCAAGTAGTTTGTGTCCTGGGTATTTTCTGGCATGCCAAAAACGGCAACTTCTGAAGAAATGGTACAAACCGTTTACAAACTAATTCTAAAAGATCGCATATTAAATTTGGAAGAGATAGCCGAGGCTGTGAGAATATCAAAAGAGCGAGTTTACTATATTTTGTGTGAAGTTTTAGGTATGAGAAAGCTATACGCCCGATGGGTAGCGCGTTTGCTTACGTCAAATCAGAAGCTAACCATTTCAGAGGAGAATTTTGCACTGTTTAGACGTGATCCTGGGGACTTTTTGCGTAGAGTTATTACGGTTGATGAAACATGGGTTTATCATTATACCCCTGAAACTAAACAACAGTCCTAACAGTGGACGGCAAAGGACGAACCAGTTCCAAAGAAGGCACAGGCAGTACCGTCTGCTGGAAAGGTCATGGCAACGGTCTTTTGGGATGCTAAAGGGATACTCCTAATAGATTATCTCGAAAAGGAAAGAACAATAAATTCCGAGTACTACAGCGACTTACTGGACCAGATTAAGTAGAATATAAGGGAAAACGCCCTGGTTTGGCAAAAAAGAAAATTATGTTTCATCAGGACAATGCACTTTGCCACAAGTCCATTCTTGCAATGGCTAAAATTCCCTGTCAGACTTTTATTTGTTTCCAAACCTAAAAAAATTTCTTTCTGGCAAAAATTTTTCCACGGGTTTAGATGTAATTGCAGCCGGAAATGCTTATTTTAACGAGTTGGATAAATCAGACTACAGTGACGCTATTAAATCGCTTAAACATCGTTGGGTCAAATGTATTACCCTACAAGGGGACTATGTAGAAAAATAAATTCTTATTCAGTCATTGTTGTGTTGCGTTCTATGTTAGGCCGGAAACTTTTCATCAAATCCTCGTAGGTATACGAAAAAAATTCAATTTGCACGAGATAGTGATTTGTTTAAAATTACTGCTTTTTTTAAAAAGGAGTAAATAATTTTTTATTACATTAAAATCAGTAATAATAAATGACTTTTGTAAAGTTGTTTTCACATTTCATTCGAAATTTATTAGATTTCCAGCTTGCCTAATTTTGATTTTTAGAATTTATACCAGAAAAGGTTTATAAGCACTCGTCTTTTTTCAGTTCAAAATAAAATATTTTTAAAACATTTCTCGATTAAACACTTTGTATAGTCAACTAAAGCCGAAATACTACGAAGAGTTAACCCAATTAAGACTAACATTCATATTTTAAATGTATCAAGTACACGTCAAGGTGTCTTGATTACAAATTCTTATAATCAAGCCTAATTATCCAGATTCCAGTAGATTGTCAACACTAATTTGGAAGACAAATACCAAATAAAGTATATTTCTTTCCTGCATCCTCGTATTAAAGTCAGGAACTTGTACGAAAAATTTGATGATCTCACTCGACTGGACTATCTTAAATCTCAAAACAGAATGTATGACAACGACGTAAATTTATTGCTTGAAATAAAATCTGTTAACCATTGCTTGCAGTGTTTGTACAAGATGACGAAGAAATGTGCCGTAAATTCTTGCACTAAAAAAATAACACCTATAATTTTTTATTACTAACACAGGACGTTGTTTTAAATATACCCAAATTCTTAAGAGATCTCGCAAGTTATTCTGATCCTAAACTAACTTTGGTTAAACATATGCAAACAATATTATCTATTGTTAAAGCTGCTTAGGATTTGTTGTAGGTACGAAGCTGTACAGAATTCCGAGACATATCCACCTTAAAAATTCTATATATTAGCTTTGTACGGTCGAAACTTGAATACTGTTATATTGTTTGAACTCCGTATATAACATTTGTACTAACTTAATTGAAAAAGTTCAAAGAAAATTCATGAAACCTGCTTTCTACATTTAAGATGGTATACACTCTATAAGGGGATATCCACATAATATATTAATTTCTAGATTTAATCTTTCTGAGCTTGTGGACGCAGGTACTGCTACTTTATAATCTTCTAAATGGCTGTCGCCAGTACATATTGATTTGTTAATCTAAAAATCTATTCAGAAATATTATGAAATTCAAGATAGCTTGGATATTTTTGCACGTAACAAGAATATGATTAAAAATGTTTTTTCAACAATATAAAAAAAAATTATTCCTTATCTTTAATTATATGCACTAATGATGTAAATGCAACGTAGACAACTATTTTAATTACGGATGTTTACATTCTTAATAATTTTGTATTTGTATTATTACTGCTAATGTATTGTCTTTCTCACCCAGTAAATGTTAATATTACTGTTGGCTGGTGTAATAAATAAATTAATAAAAAAATAATAAATTAATTAATTTATTATCGCACAAAACCATTAGAAGTGGTTGGTAGATTTTTATAGGTACATTAGTGTTATCAACTAATGTTTTCAACTAATGTTGATACACCACAATATATGAAGTGTTCTTCTTCCACCTTACATATTTTTTTACGAAACTAAGGTGTTGTCAAAAATTATTATTGGAAGTTGTCACAATCTTATTTAAAAATAAATTAAAGTATAAACATATTAAAGATTTTTATTTTCAACTGAATATAAAGGGGTCAGATATATAATCATTGCTATTTAGAGATATAAGCACATAATCCAGTGAAATACTGGCTGTGAGGTTATTTAAAAATTTGGTATTTAGAAAAAAACTAACGCTGGAAAAATTAAAAGAATCTATTTTGGAGCACAAAGCAAAAATTCAACCATAAATGCTTAATAATTTAACAATTTATAAGAACGGTTAATGATGGTATAGCAGCCAAATGGACGACATTTAGATTAACAACTATTTAAAATAAGAAATCCCATTATTTCTGTCACATCCTGTTGTTAACTTAATTTATTTAAAATACATTATACTCTTAAATATCTTTTATGATATCGGATATCTAGTAATATTAATTCAATTAACAAAAGTATTCTCTTCAGATTAAGAAATTAGGTTACCATTGGTTATGATCGGTTTTATTTATATTAACAGTTTATAATTGTTAAAATGATACAATTTTATTTTACGTCACCATCTGAAACAACTTTTTAATCAGAATACACTCATTAGATCTGCAGGTTTGGATCTTATCATTTCGAAATAGTAAAAGAGGTAGAATAAGGGCAAAACTCACTCTTAAGTAATAGCGGCGACAAATGTCTACCCTAGCATTTATATCTAAACGTTTCAATCTATTTTCTAGCAACGCACAGGCAGATACGTCCTTTATGTTATGCTCTATTCAAATGACAAACAGGATTCGGATGACGAATGGACTTACATCCTTATTGACTCATCACGCTATACGGGAATATCTGAATATCTTCCCCTCGATAAATCTCTTTCACTCGGTGATCCAGTATATATGTGTTTGTCGTAGAGCAGTCAAGAGTTGAGGAACTGCCTACATAATTACTTTGTGTATGTCGGATGCGTGGAGTATGTACAGGATGTATGAATGGCATGTTTATAAAAAAATATTATGGTAAGGTATGAGATTGTTTATAATAATGATAATAATACTCTTTCAATAGTTCACCCTCGTCCTAGTGAATTTTGACTTACTTAGCTTGTTCAGGGTGCTCCGGAAAACCCCACCATCTTTA